ATTATTTTTTAAAAGATGATAATAGGTAACTCAGTTGCTCTGAATTTCACTTATAATTATAACCTATTTAAATCACAGCAGAACTCCCGCTGGTGCGGAGTTCATAGTTGCATACAATACAGGAGATCACAGTTTTGAAGTCTAGCACAGATTAAAAACCACAGATGTACCATTTATATAAGACACACACTGATTGTCTCTTAAAAACTACATATTGACTCCTTATGAACATTATCTTTTTTTTTTTTAATCTTTAAATAAAGTAGTGCAGCTAGGACAATCAGTCACACAACCCACATAGCCCTGAACCAAGTTCTCCGGGTGCCAACTTGAGCAAGTTGGGCATGAAACAGTTGGATGAGCTCGAGAGCGAGAGAGAAAGAAAGAGGGAGGGAGAAAAGGAGGGAGAAAAAGAGAGATGTTGTCCATTCCGAATATTTTAACCGAGGGTTGGCTAACACATTGGAAACCTCTGGGTGAAGGATCTTTCCACGCACACACAAAAAAAGAAATAAAAACCTAGACTTTTTTTTTTAACTTTTTTTTTTTTTTTTTTTAAAACTGGCCTGTAGGTGGGACGATCTCCCACCTCTTCCAAACAAAGAAACCCAACAATTGCCTAAAACTAGAAAGAACACAGATGGGTCTGTCTGTTTTCTGCTCACTAGATGATCTGTCCGTTTAAGGCCTTCCTCCTCCGTTTTTCCTCTTTATTATTCCTTTTCCAGAGCGTCTGAGCAGGAGATGAGTCTGAATGGGATCACACCAACACTGTCCCCCTCTTGTTGCTGTCGTTTTTTTTGTTCGTTTGTTTGTCCATTATTTTTCTCTTTAATTTAACCAAGACCTGACTAAAACTGGAGCGTTCAGCCCAGCCTGTTCGTTCTCGTCGCGATTTCTCTCGTTATCACAAAGGTTCTTCACAAAACCTGGAACTTCCATGACGATGTCTGGTCCTTATAATCCAAGCAGTCAGCATTGAAGTTTAACTTCCAGGAGGCGGTTTGGTCTTTATAATCCAAGCAATCGGTGGTGGAGTTAAAGCCCAAACTGGAGGCTCCATAGCCCTGGGTGGAGAGGGAGGCTGGAGACTGGTTGAGGTGGCTGGTGACCGCGTTGGCACCCATGGGACTCAGGGTGGCCCCCGGTCCGGGAAGCTGGTGGTGCATAGGGGTCAAGTAAGATCCACAGTCCATCCCTCCAAAATAAGAGGTCGAGCCAGCGTATCCTTGGCTGTAGCCTGATGCCTGGGTGTAGGTCATAGGATAGGATCTCTGCATGCAGGAGGAAGAGGTGGACAGGGGGTCTGAGAGCGGGGAGATGGACGCTGGGCTCCAGATGGATACGGGGGCACTGCTGCTGGAAATGGTGGGGACTGAGGTGCTGGAGGGGGGGGTGAACTGCCCGCTGGTCCCGCTCTCCGAACTCACTTCCCGGGCTGGCGAATTCTTCTTTTTAGCTGGCCGTACCTTGTTCTGGCCCCCGTTCTGCTGCTGCTGCTGCTGCTGCCGGCACTTGGCTCGGCGGTTTTTAAACCATACCTTGAGACCCAGAAACAGGGAGGGAGAGAGAAAAAAGCCTGGTGTTAGGGATGTAGGGATATGCAGGCAAACCCAAGGGGGAAAGAGCCGGTGGTGGGGAGACCTCGCCGGGGAGGGGGCACTAAAAGCGCTCCCCACCAGCAGAGGGTTGCAGGCTGCTGCAAAGAAAAGCTCCGGGGCTCCCCCTCCCTGAGATCATTAGCAGTAATAACAAGTGAAAATGGGCAAATCAAACTGCTTAATAAGGTCACTTTTGGGGGAAAGTGTGTGGGGGAGCTCTCCCTATTTGCTGTTTGCCAGCCGGGGACCCCCAGGAATCACCATTTAAGGCCTATTGAAGTCAAGCCCTTAATTAGAAACAATAGAGCATCAGAAAGGGAGGGAGCAATTAGGGAAACAGAGGCAGGGGTTGGGGAGGAGGGGGTAAAGATGTCTCATTTACCCTCTAAATAGACCCTCTGCTCTCACCCCCCAGCCAGAGCCAGCCCCCCAACCCATGTCACCCACTTTTAGCAGGGACCAAGGGGGCTGGCTCTGGGGAGTTTTCGTGGGGAGGAGGCTGGGGTTTGGCGTGGGGGGGATCTCAGTCCCCGGAGGCCACGCTCCACCGGGGCACGGCACCACGCTGCCTCGGGAAGCCTTCGCAGGGAGGAGAGCAGGGAGGATGGCTTTGGGGCTCCAGGGGTGTCCTGGATCCGTGCCAGTGGCAGCACAGGCCCCCCCCCC